TTTTGTTTTAAAATGCAGGATTGAAAAGGCCAGAGAATGCTTCCTGTCTCCCTTTTCCTTCATTTCTTCCATGACATACTGCTCTTTTTGTTCCCAGTAGATCTGACATTTTAATAACTTCAAACCTCTTAAATGTTTTCATGTATTATTTGTTCCTATCTCTGAAGCATGAGTTTCCCATTTTTCATTTTGACAAGGGCCACCCCCCAAAATAAAGGCTTGCAATTCTATTGAATTGACTATTAATTCAAGGCACTGTTTAAGAAATGAATTTCATATTAGGAATCTGGAGAAGGGTAGCAAACTAGATTATAATTAAATCTGTGTTCCTACTTGTGAATTATTAAGAATACATGTTGGAACAGACCTGAGAGATACATTTATACACCAGGAAATAGGAACCAAAAAATGGAACTATTACATCTGGGCATACTAATCCAATGCACTAGCAAAGTGTATTAAAAATGTGGTAAAACGAATTAGTTCTAAAGACATAACATTTGTATCCTACATCTTTTAAAACTGCATTTGGCACACTATTTTAAAATCTAACATCGGAAAAATCTTTCCACATTTAATGTACTCCCAGTTACAACAGAAAGACTCATAGAATTATTTTAGGATATATTTGTTAAAAACATAAGTTCTTATTTTATTACTGACAGGAGTAAAGAAAAAAATTAACAATTATTTTCATCTGTCAAATGGCACCATATCACATAATCTTTAGGATTTTCCAAGTTCTTTATTGTATAGAAACTTCAAGAATTAATTACATTTTTAAATAAGTGAGTCATCAACTAGGGCATTTATTCTCTATGGGCAATTTTTGTTTCAGCAGGCTTTTTATTTTTTGATTTTGCAGTGACCTAATTTGTCTTTTATAAATAAGTCAGACAGGCACATAACCCATGGCCCATTTGTGGATGGAGGCTCATTTCCAGGCAGGTAGGTATGGCGATTATTATCATGACATGAAAAGAAATGTGGAATGGAATCTAAAAACCTTTAAGATGGTTGGCTCTGATGTCAGATAAATTGGATAAAAAAACTCTGCCAGTTGGTAGCTTTTTCTTTCTAATTTATCAAAGTCATAATGTCAAATCTGAAATTTGCACATTTATCTTATAAAGTTCACCTACTGTGTATTAGATTTAATCACAAGTGAGAGAATCTTTGCATTTATGTTATGCATAGACCTCTCTCATCGAGAACATTTCAGTTGGTTTTAAATGGCCATTAATATTTTCCTTTTTAATTTTGGTCAGGACTGAGTATAGCTGTAAATGAACAGTTCAGATTCTCTATGTGGGCCACAAAGCATACACACATAGAAAAATATTTGTGCATATTTAGCACATAAATTTAAGTTCAGGCATGAATCAAAAGCATGTACTTTTTCCAGTATTTGAAATGCTTTCCCCTACACATTTCCATCTTTAGGATTTTAAAGTTGTAATTAAAATATGTACAGGATTTATCTTTCCTATTTCATGTATATTGTAGCACATAACTACACATTTAGTACACATTCATTCAGTCTTTTCCCATTTTTATGGCTTTGTTTGAGTTGTTCCCTTTTCATAGAATGCCCTCTCCCACATTTGAATGTCAAGGTCTACCCTTCCAAGGGTGGGCAGCTTTGAGACTGGTGGAAGAGTACGAGATTTGTGGTAAAGTAGAAAAAACATGATGCTCTGTATTTACTATGGTTAAATCCAAATTCTTCAATTTTCTAGTTAGCAGACTTCCTGCCTTCTCTATGCCTCCATTTTCCTATGTGTAAAATGGGGATTTTATATTTCCTTTTAGAATTTTGATATGGGTTAATTGATATAATATATCTAAAAGATCAAAATTATCAAACCCTTTCCTTTCCTTCCAAATGCCACCTTCTCCACCCCTCTGGATCCCACCCTTCCCTGCCAACTACACCTACTAATGATAATCTCATTTTATCATCCTTTGAATTCCCGTAGCACTTCACCTATCCCTCAAAGACTTCACTGACCATTTTCTACATTGTGTTACGCTCAATATTTATTGAATGTCTACTATGTGCCAGGCTTATAAACATATATTTTTTCATTTTATTTTCCTTTAACTAGTCCTTAAGCTTCTTGAAGTTAGAGTCTTTATAATACTCATATTCCCTCTTTCCTCTCCATTGTTTAGTAATGTGTGGCACTAGTGCTTGAACAAGAATGTATTAATACTTGTTAATATTTGGTAAGACTTGCTAACATATAATGTGGGCAATATTTGTGCATCCATTTTTATATGTGTCTGCATCCTCAAGAAGATTACATGTTGGAAATGGTGCTGATATGCCAGTGCATGGGATCATCCTCATCCTCAGTATTAAATAATAATGATAATAAAGTAAAAACCAACATTCCTGGGAATATACACAAAGGAGAATTTTCTGCTCTCCTTCCCACGCGAGTCCTTGGAGTAGCTCCTGCTAGAGCAAAACATGGTTTCCAAAAAGAAAAGGTGAGTGAACAAATGAGCTGTAGCTATGTCTCTATGGAATTACATTAGCGCAAATCTAAGCAGGTTTTCAAAGAACTGTGGTTTATAAATAAAGACTCTCTCATATATACAATACTGTGGCTACATGAAATTCTAAGGTTCCAGGGGAAATTACACAATTTCGAAATGAGGCTGTGTGTACACAACACCAAGCCATCCAAATGAAAACTTGAGCAAATCACTTAGGAATGTGGTCTTTGCTAGCCCAGACATTTCAAGTCGTTTTTGGAAATATGTAATGCGGTTCTGACACTATTTTACTACTCATGGATGAACTGCACTATAGTGAAGTCTCACTTTAATTTGCTGCTCCTAATCAACCGCAGGCTAGGAAACCAGAAAGCCAAATTGGTTAGAATTGTGTCTAAAGTAAGAACGACTAGGCCCTGATTTAAGTTCAACGAGAGTTTCCGACAAGTGGAAGTAAATATTTAATATAAGTGCTTAAATGTACAGCAGTTATATTTTGAGTTCTCCTTCCGAAGTGGATCTCTATAAACTTAGCATGTCACACAAGCAATTTTGTTAGATTGTCTCTTCTCCCATATTACAGAGTGTCCTTTGAGAAAGAAAATGTAGGCCTTTCTAAATAGGCTCCTGAGGAGTTTTCCTGTGGCAACAATCCTAGTTGCTACAGACCACGCAAGACGTGAAATAGAAATAGACTCATGAACAGCCTGTCCACATGCCTCAGCAGTCCAGAAGTCTCAGAAGATTTTAGGCTCTGGGCCGTTTCCATGGCCACCACTCACTCCCTGGGAGCTCTACAGGCATTTCCAGTGGTTTTTCAGTTCACTTGGGATGAGGCACTCGGTGACAGAGTTCCTGAACAGGTCCTAAGTGCAAAGGGACTTGGATTGGAGATGTGCCCCTCTTCTCCAGATGTGCAACCTGTCCTTGGCTGATGCTGAACAGGAGCCAGAATTTTTTTTATATTCTTTATCATTTTTGCTATAGCAATTGGCGTTAATGAATGGTGCACCTAAGGTTCAGTCTCAGTGGTGCTCCACCCTGCCTTCTGTTTTCTTCTGGAACCATTCAGAAAACAGCATGCGAGTGGGTGTGAGAGGCTTACTGCCCAAATGCTCCACCGGAAGAATGTGGTAGAGCCAGATGTGAAATGGACCTCCACTGAGGGAAGAATGTGCAACTAAGAGTCCCAGCGCATACTGGGGAGGGATGGCTCTCTGACTTCACTCTGGATTCATAACATTGTGCTATCCCACACCACATCATATGCCTGTCCAGACTCGATGTCAAAATTGGCTTGTTATCATCTGTGATTTTTACTGAGCATCTCTGAAGAAGAAAGACTCCTTCGTGGGGCTAATTGATCCCAGGCCTGAGAATTGGACATTGATTTCTATAGCCGCTTCAGAAGAAAAATTTCAATATTTTAAATCCAGGTATCATATACTGTTTCAACTGGAGCACACTCATTCAGAATATCATAACAAAAGACCTAAAGTATGTTATTTGACTCCAAATGCACAGATAAGTTTGCCATGAGAGTGAGAACAGTGTAGCAAGAGTTAATGCTGTAAAAATCATAGTATTGTCTATTGTGAATAAATCCAATGAAACTTGTTCAGATAGTATGCAGGCAATACTAAAGAGACTGTTATGCAATCACCTAAGACCTGAGACACATAAAAACTTTATTAGCCATCACTGAAATAAAGTGCAAACAAGTTCGTCTTAGAAAGATCCAAACCTCTTTAAGTTTTAGGTCTCCAGAGCCATAAAACAGTGCCTGACAAATTTTAAGTAATATTCTAATTAATCACTGGATTTTTATAGTTTATTGAAAGCTGTAAGTTAGATATTAAAAAGGCAGGGTGAGACGAAATCTCCTCATACTGAGCGTGAGTCTTAAGTCCTTTGCATAAAAGCCTGCTTGGGCAGCCTAGCCAGACTTTTATACCAAGCAGCTGCTAGAAATGGAATGGACCATTAATCTGAAGAGTATTGTTATTTTCATATTGATTAAAGTGGGATTTACAATGTGTACAAAGTTCACAAACTGATGAAAAATTATTCCAGCTGTGCCTCTGTTTTATACAAGAAACACTTTGTGGGGCATTTCTACATTGTTTCTTTGGTAAAACTAACACTTTGTAATACACAAATAATATGACTCTCTGTAATACCATCACACACTCAGTAATTACCATAGAAAAGTATGACCCAACATTTTTGTATATAAAAGTTTCTGATTTATATTTTTCGATTGGATGCAGTGATGGTATAAATAATCTGGGACAATTTTATCCCTAATGGGGATTTTTATCAAAAAAGGAGGCAGCTTTTGTTGTGTCCACCATCAGGAACAAATATCTCCAATGAGGAGCAGGAATTTACTTTTAAAGAACAGATTAAATTAAAAAAAAAAGCCTATCACATTATTGCTTCCATTCTCTTTTCTAAAAATTACAAAAATCTCTTCGATAAACACTTTCACCTACCTCATAAAATAAAGGAACACTAACACTTCCAGGTTTTTTTGCTTTTTTAGATGAGGCAGCTCCAACAATTGCATTTATTTCATTGATCTGTAAGAAAATTAAATTTACTTACAATGAAAAAGAAAGGCTTACTTAACAAATACTTACATATATGTAATTTTCAAATATCTGGGTGACTTGAGGGGTTGGGGAAGCTAGGAAGAAATAGATACCCAACAATTAGATAAAATATTTATAGTCACTTCTGTCAGCTGTTAGTAATGGTATGGGCATGTGTCATCCAACAGATCTTTTATACGCTATCACTCCCCACTGACCTCTGCCAGCTGTGATTCCACGTAGCCTTCATTTTCCAGTTAGTCATGTACTCCCCTGGAATCTTAAATAGTCTAGTCTTTTATTATCATTAAGGCTTTTATTAAATAATTCCTCACAGGACCTAGCATGGTGCCTGGCATGGCCTCAGAAATCTTTGTCAAATGAATGAATGTTGAATGGGAAACAATAATGAACAAAAATGAATTCTTCCAGATTAAATAATTCAAATTTATTCTAGCTAAATATTTACTTAAAATAATCCCCCGAAATGTACAAAACAGGCCAAGGATACAGAAGCTTTATTTATTTTATAATTATATTCTATTATTTTAGGTAAAAAATCTTCAAGGGACTTCGTGGTGGGAAGGGCCAGGTACCTGCTGAAGAATGTCCTGCCACAATACCACACTGAAGAGCTTCCGCTGAGGGGCCTGGACGGCGAAAGTGAGGGCGCGAATGAGAAGATCATCTTCAATCTGGTTCCCAACCACAAAAGCGATGGAGGCCTTCCAATCGTTCTATCATAAAATCAGAAGGAATTAGATTTCAAATAATTTTGTGTCCAGCATTTCCACTGAAAAACAGGATAACTTTTTTTCCATAAACGTTCCCTTAAAGACAGGGTTGACCTTGCAGTGTATGTGGTTCTCTGAAGAAGTAGCCGCAAGGCGGCAGTATTGTGCCGAATTTCAATGCAACTTGACCAAAACACAATTTTCTTGAGAAAACTAAGCTTTTTATTTTAAGGAGGACAATTTGAAAAAATGACACTTTCATTAGAATGCTGTCCAAGAGTAATCTGGTGTTGGAAAGAAATAGTTCATCCCTATGTCACAAATATACATTAAGATGTAGTCTCAAAAGCAGGAATCTTTATTTTTTTTTTCCCCTGGTACATCCTTAGACTCCAAGTAGTGAAGGGATTATAGAAGGAGCTGAAAAAATATTTGCTAAATTTTGGGTAACATTGGATGAGTTGCCAAATGAAAACTGGAACACATCTTTTTCTCTTAATGTAACACAAGAATCCCATTACTAATTCACAAATGGGTCCTTTTCACTCCCAAGAAATAGGCTAAAATATTACACTTGGATGTGAAATTTTGCATCAAATAATTCAAAGAAATAAGTTACTGAAGACCATAATTGCAATCATTAATTTCTTTTACTCTGTTTCTTGTAATTATAATTTCTATTGGGAGATTAGGAGTGGAGCTCATTGAATTACCCACCATGAAGAGACGACACATGCAATCAGGACTTGTGTCTCTGAACACTAGCAATCTTACAGGGAGATGGAACAGATAAACACGATAAAGACGTTAGAAAAGAGAGATAACAGTAAGGGAGGGCACTCTAGACAGGTGACCTCTCTGGGCCTTAGTTTCCCCGTTTATGAAACAAACAACTTGGGCAGGGCACTATCTAAGCTTCCCTCTATCTCCTCCTCTCTAGAGGTCTGATTCAAATACAGTAGAACTCTCTCTTAGTGGATGGCAAAACAATATCTGATATTTGAGAAGGTCACACAAATGTAATGAAATGCATAATTTTATGTGGTTCTTCTGGTTTCTGTTCAGTTTATAATCAGGTTGATGACAGAACTAAAGTATAGGAGGGAGAAAAGACCTTAGTGCAAATTCTTTCTTACCATCAAATAGAGATTGCCCTAATTTCTTATTTTCCTCCAGGAAATTTACTAACTACCTAGCAAGATCCACCCAACTTTCAATGCTATTACCAAGACAAAAAGCACATGTAAAAGCAAAAAAAATGTAGATTTTACTTACAAAGTGTGTGTGTATGTAGGCAGGTAGGTGTGACTTTATGTGGTTTCTTCTGTTACAATGAGTTTAAAACATTCTTTTTGTCTGTTAATTCATCACAGAAAAATTGAGCATCTGTTTCTTAAATGTTCTGATTCTAAAATATAGGTATGATATTTATAATGTATTCTTTAGGAAAAAATTCCATTATCACAAAATGACCTTTCCTGCATTAGATACCTTCCTTTCCTTTACTCTTGTCTGTACCCTCAGTCAAAACTGCAACTGTAGTCATCATTAAAGGGTAAAAATCTCTTACATTCTCACAATAAAGTACACATGGTTCCTGGACAGGCAACACCTTGAAGTTCCTGGCAGTTACACTTCCCAACACGGAAGAGTTTAATAACTGTGTCTACCTCCTTATCCCACCGCCCACTGAAAGTTTCCTTGCAATATTTGAAAGCGAATGGTGACAAGACAAGTCTGCCTCAGCTCTTTTGGGGACAATTGAGAAAGAGGGCATTGTAGTCCATCACCTACCTGCCCACTAGTATCTGGTGTCTTAGTGTCTTAGTATCATATATCCCCAAGGTCACCCTGAGACAGTTCACCTGAGCTATAGCAGTTCCAGATTTGTCCAGCGCTCTCTCTACAGGAGTTGGGGATCCAGGCCACATCCTCCATTTGAAGGGGTCTTAAGAGTCCAGCTTGGGTACAATTTCCCAAGTATACTCTCTCATTCACCAAATTCCTGCTCTAGAAATTGGATCTATTTGGCAAAACAGAACTCGTGGAGGACTTTGTTAGAGTTATGGTTTAGTGTCTAATCACATAGCAAGAACCTGAGTAAGCAAGAAATGGTCCGGCAAGATAGTAATAATACAAACCAAGAATGCCTGCGGAAAGGATGCACTCACTGTGGGCTGCAGCAGGGGGCAGCGGGACGCTAGGAAATGCACAATATTCAATGAAGAGCAAGTCATTTCCCCGTGTCTAATGGGAAAGAATAGTTAAATAAGTGACACTCTGCAAATGTAATTTCTGAATCTTTCTCTTAGTATTCCAGGGTAAACATAGATTCCAAATTTCTACCAACTGAAGTGGTTTTAGAAATAGAAAATTGCTTTAGGAAAAATCGGACACAAATTAGATTCAGCAAAATACTATTAAAAACACTACTTCACCCATATCCCACCCAGACATGCAGTTAAACGAAGTCCTTAAATTGAAGTTCACAGGAAAGCAAGAGAAATTTAGTATAGAGAAAACAAGCGTTGACCATGGGGAGAAATGAAAGTATAATGTGTGCAACTCAATTAACCATAGGTCCAGTAATGTTCCTACCTGTGGGTAAATTTGTTTACAATCATTCAAGAAGTTTGGGTGTAATTAGTAGCATGAACTGAGAGAAAGAAAACATCAATTATTTTAGAAAAACTACATTGGATGTATCTAGCGGTGAAGGAAGAGGGTTTTGGTCTGTCACATCTCAAATACCTTAGGAAATAAAGTCAGCTCTGTATGACCTGGAGGCACATACTGTACATGATTATTGCAGAGTCTTACCCCTGAGTAATTATTGATAAAGTCATTCAAAGGACGGAATGAAGTCATATATGGACACAATCTATTACCTTTTATTTACTTTACCAGTCTCACCTAATTTGAAACCTGGCAGGAGGTCGCCTTACCCCAAACACTTACATACTAATCTAAGGCAAGAGAGTATTCATATAAATGCAGAGAACCTGGCTGTCTCACATAAGCCTACTGTCTCAGAGACATGGGGTAGATTTACAACTATTTTTATTTTATACATTGCAAATTCTGCAAATTTTATTTCGGCATTACATATTCTAATATAATTACAAAAACCCTTTCAAAACCAAGTGACAAGTAGCTTTTGGATGATCAGATTGTGATTATTTCTTTTTATTAGCATAAATAATTGGCTGATGTGGGGAAAGACAAGGGCAGGACATGCGTGCTCTCTTCTGCTGCCTTTGCTAGTGTGTAGGGGGCCTGTGGCTCTGAAAGACCTAAAACGAGATTCCCACAGTCCTCTACTCAGAACTGATCAGGGCCTGACAAGCTCTATGAACCAGTAGTGGTCAGCAATTTTATTAGGAGAAGATGTATAAAAGCCTTAAGCAAAATCAGTGCAACATTTAAAAAGTCAGGTTTTATTAAGAGCTATTTAACACTGTACAGATATGCAAACCTGTACTTTATGTCAATACTCTGTTGAAAGGATAACCTTTTTGTTAAGTAAATTTATTCCCAAATGGCCAGGGATTTGTGAATGTCTTTCTCATACCAGATTTTTCCTTCAAAAGGAGTCTTGGATCCCCATCAGCAAAGGAGTGTTAGTATGGGCTTTTGGCCAGCAGAAGAAATATTTTTATTACATAAAACTGGCTGCTACAATCATATTTGTTAAAAATGGATTCTAACTCTAAAGTAAGTTGAAAATATTGGTTAAAAATGGGTACACATTGTTGTATGATAAACAAGAAAAATATAAACAACCAGGATATGCACTTTTTCATCTCTCTTTACTGTCTTTGCTAATTAAGTACTTATTGTTATAGACTCTTCTCTAACTATATATCCCTCATAATGCTATAGTTTGACTTATCATCATACTGTTAAAGTAATCCTTATTTAGGAATTCTTTCATGTGGCTGTCATGTTTTCTCAACTAGGTTGTAAACTCCTTAGGTCAGAAATGATGTTTATATGCTTTTTGCACCTTGTGGTGCCTGGTAGTGAATGGGAAACATAAATATACGTTGACTGATATTTTAAAGCAACAGAGAATACTTGGGCACTGAAAGGATTTTGACCCTTGAACTATGAAGTGCTAGAATGTAGCATATCAGTAAACTGCAGCGTATACAGTCCATAGCCCTGAAGTCCTTTAGGAGGAGAACACACTGTAGCTGATCTAACATGATTCATTCCAGGGGTCAGTAACAATGGTTTGGGGAAGTAGACCTTGCAGCCATTCCTCTGCTATCTTATGAGCTTGATTTATGTCAGAAGAATGTCAGGATGGGGTGAGGAGAGAAGGGACACAGAGTGAAGTAGCATATAATATGCATTGTCGTGGTCCAGTATCTGGGAGAGGGCTGTCACCCTGACACCTGCCTCCTGCAGCACCAACACTGCCTGAGCCACACCTATCTTTTGACCACCTCTAGGGGTGTGGTGGAGCTGATTGTCCACCACCATTCCCAGCTCTGTTCAGTGAGGTTGTCTTAATAACTTGAAATATGCCACAGTGGGAATATTCAAACTATGGCAATGGCAAGCACTACAAATCAGAGCTTTCCACCTAGAGAACAGGTTATTAAGCATTTACTGGCATATTACAGCTTCCAACCCAGGAAGATCTGCATGTCTAAGACTGACTTGGAGATGATTGTGAAGGCCAAGGCTGTCTCTTAGAAAGTATTGAGGAAGGCAAAGCAGAGTCTCTCCATCTACTGCACACGAATCCCACCCTTCCCCAAATACACACTCTGTAGTTGTGCACTGTATGAATTGATAATTGCCTGCTGATGTTGCTTCAGGTGTAACCCAGCCTTAAGTGCTATCCTTCGAAATGGGCTCTATGAAAAGCAGGTGACAAAGTAACTCCAGGGCTCTCGTTTCTTCCTGACCATTCTTCTACTTCCCACTCAGGCATCTGCACACTGGGACCATTGCCCTGGGAAGTCCCCAGGAATGCCCTGCCCACAGGTGAC